ATTTACCCATAGTGGAGAATTACAATACCATATATTCGTCGTAGAAACCCATGCGTTTCCCGTGTTTTTTGAAACAGATGGCAATTACCCGGGTGCACTGCAATTTTTGTCAGCTGCCGCTACCGGACACCGGTTGTTATTGGTGGCATACATTTTTGCCTGTGACTCATAGTTTTTTTCATTTTTATGTCATTAAATCCCTCAATTATATCTTGTACTTAAAGATCATGTTTTCTTTGTTGGAAGTTCGCAATCCATCTCAAAGTAACAACACTGAGAACATAGCGTTCTGGCGTTCGTGTAGGCACCTCACGGTGTTGAGGGACGGTGGTTTAGTTTGTGTGGCGAACGGCAATCACCCAACGACCGACGCTCACAACTTGGATCCCACCATTAACAAAAAGCAATATTATAGTTATGTAACTTTTCAGATGTTTTTAATTCAGTATTTTTTTCAATATTCTTCCAAAATTCAACCACTATATTTCCCTAAAAATCAAATAATACCGGTTTTATGTATTTCCGTATTAAACCTATAGTCAATTCATGTTCCAGGGCCACTTGGTTTACCGTGCATTATCAGCCAATATACCATGGATTGCATATGCAAATTTTGTGTTTGGACCAATCAAATCAATGGATTATCACCATCAATACACTGGTATAATATAATATGCAATAATCTCATGCACCTACATCATTGTGTCTTCAGACTGTTCACCCATTCTATGAAATATATACCATTTGAAATCAATGCAATCAATATCATTTGATTTAATGTATAACACTACTGTAGCATATTCATAATAATTATCAAGTACTGGTATGTGTAACAGTGCAGTCAAGTAACTGTTTTACCATACAGTGTTCAGCAGGTATGCTGGTTTGAATGATAACTGTTTTACCATACAGTGTTCAGCAGGCATGCTGGTTTGAATGATAACTGTTTTATCATACAGTGTTCAGCAGCATGCTGGTTTGAATGATAACTGTTTTACCATACAGTGTTCAGGCAGGTATGCTGGTTTGAATGATAACTGTTTTACCAGTGTTCAGGCAGGTATGCTGGTTTGAATGATAACTGTTTTACCATACAGTGTTCAGGCAGGCATGCTGGTTTGAATGAAATAACTGTTTTACCATAAACAGTGTTCAGGCAGGCATGCTGGTTTGAATGATAACTGTTTTACCATACAGTGTTCAGGCAGGTATGCTGGTTTGAATGATAACTGTTTTACCATACAGTGTTCAGGCAGGTATGCTGGTTTGAATGATAACTGTTTTACCATACAGTGTTCAGGCAGGCATGCTGGTTTGAATGATAACTGTTTTACCATACAGTGTTCAGGCAGGCATGCTGGTTTGAATGATAACTGTTTTACCATACAGTGTTCAGGCAGGCATGCTGGTTTGAATGATAACTTGGCCCCAATATTATAGCAATGACACATTAGTCTTCTCATTATTGAAGCCAATACTCTGATATTAATACCTCATGTTGTGATGACAAATTCTGTAAAGTTTAACGTTTTGATATACAAAAATTTAAATAGATAATTGTTTCTTCAACATGCGGTTAGTTATTCAGCTTGAGACAACAGGCTTGTCTAACTAGCATGTATCGCCATACAATCATGCAATTAAAACCTGCATCTGTGTTCTTTAATTCAGAATTTAAGCGGTTACTATCGTGGAGGATTTGACACTAAAATGACAAAAAGGGAAGCAAGTTTAATATTTGGTATCAGGTAAGAATTCAATTTAATCAGAATAACTGTATTGAAGTTAATTTTAAGATTGACCATACTGGTATCATAAGTTCAACATCATATTAGACACAATGCTTATACATGGTTCAATTTAAAGGTTATGTGTTTTTACTCTGTTCTACAATTCAATAATGTCAATAATCCTATTTTTCTTCTAGTCCATCTGCAAGTAAAGCAAAGCTACGAGAAGCACACAGAAGAATTATGTTACTAAATCATCCTGATAGAGGTAAACATACTGCTGTCCAGAATGCCTGAATGTTTTTTTTTTGTTTTATTTGTTTTGGGTGGGGGTGAGAAAGTTGCCTTCAGTTTTTGCTCAAACTAGATCATTAATGGAACTGTGGCTAGAATAAATGTGATCAGGTAATACTACGGTGAAATTTCAAATCTGGATTGCTAACTTAGATCTTCTTGTAGAATTTCTAGACTTATAAGTAAAATAGGACCAATGTATGTTGCTTATAACTAGATTCAGTTTAACCTGGTGAAACAGCTCTCTTGATTTTCTGATTTGTTCTTGTAGGTGGCTCGCCTTATATTGCTGCTAAAATCAATGAGGCTAAGGACCTGTTGGAAACCAAACATCCAAAATAAACATTTAACATCGTGCAAAAGACACTTCATTTCAATATAGCTTTTATACTAGGATGAGAATTTATTTGATGTCTATATCCATGAGTGGTTGTTGCATCCATCTACCGATACATCTGGGTCCTGGTTGCAGTTGAACTCAAGATGTTTGAAGACTTGATTCACTAACAGTCTGGACTCTCAACAAAGAAGATACATACTAAATATATTGAACAACAGTAATAAATATCTTTTTTTATACAATGTTATTCATATTTTGATTTTCTATATATTTTTTACCTTACCCTTGTCATAGATTGAGGGAAAAGTATTTGACTGAATATCTTGTTGTATACTAGTATTTTTCGTACTCCTATACGTACCTTCACAGGAATTAATGGTGACTTTTGGAGCCAAGGTCAGGTTGGAGGCAAAATAGTTGCATACACTCAAACCCCTGGCAGGCAGTTACCGAGTGGCTTTGCAACATCCCCAGACACTTTTCTGAGAACTTGATTACCGGTAATCGATTATCAAAACACTGTACACGCTATGCCTTTGATGTTTTGTGTGGACGGCGTAGTTTGACTATTTCATTGATTTTGTAGGTACAAAAAACATTGCAGTAAGACGGACATAAAATTCAAAATAAAAATGTTCTCACAAGGGCAATTTCATTACATCGAGGTTTAATATTTTCTTAAAACATTTGAAATTGAAATAATTTAATAAATTGTGTTCAATAACAAAGATGAATAAAACATTGTTTGATAAATCTTTGACCCAACGCTCATAAGTTAACAGTTTAACCCATCTGAAACCTGGGCCCGTTATAACCTAACCTTGTATCTACAATGATCACAGAAGTGTCTAGGAAAATGTCAGGGATGTTGCAAAGTCACTTGGTAATTAACTACCAGGTGTGGGAGTTGGGTGTATGTAAACATTTTGCGACCACTCTAACATGCAAATGTTACATGGTTTTTCACGGTCCCTATAGTGACGAAATACGCCGTTGTCACAATGCCTTTTATTTGAGAACGTTGTTAAAAGGTGTGTGTGTGTGTGAACAGAATACACCGTTGTGGCGCTGGTGTTTTTGACACCGTCCTAAAAGGGGTGGACCAGATCCTGAACGCCGTTGTCACACCGGCTCTTGCACAATGGAATGTGCCATGTGACGGCCAAACGCCCTCTATCGCAGACTTATTTTGACATTACCAGCTTGACATTACACAAGATGGCATCAGAAGTCAAATGTCGAACTGCTCAGACGAAGAAACTAGATTACTGATATCTGTTTGAAGAGAATCCTATTTCTTCCAACCAGTTATTTCTGCGTTGTTGAGTCCAAATCGCTCGGGTTGCTGGGTCTATTGTTGCGTTATTCATACACGCGAATAGCGTAAACATGGCTATTTCTTGCTCTTCGAAATCTTGATTAATCGAGCGCAAAAAAACACGGAAAAACGGAAACAAAGCAAATGCATTTACCAGAGGGGATGCCATGTTGTCGATTAACCTTTCCATTTGTTTATTGACCTTACCGTATGTTCTGAAAAAACATCCGTTATATGCGAACTGTTTTAAACAAAAAGTTCTGAGTAAATGGGCATTATTTAGAACTAGTAAACATACTGTTAAGAACAAAAAAAGTAAATGTGGACACTAAAAGGATGCTAAACAAAAACTGTCCACTATTGAAAATAAGTAAAATGCAACATAGACTTTAACCATAACCTGCCATGTACAGTAAGTTTGCTGAGGGTTTGTGATTGGCTGCTGTTTGCGGTACAAAGGTCATTCAAATCTGTAGGCAGGTGAATGGTGTGGGAAATGCTAGGATATAACATGGGGACAGCAATGATACACAACTCTATCATACATATAGCTCTTAGAGCCAAAACAGGTACAGATATTAACTGACAGAATTTGAGTATGATCAAAACAAAGTGTGCATTTATAGACCACATTCTGGGAAAAATTAATTGCTGTGTTGACAAGAGAAAACTTGAATAATGTGAATTGGGGTAAATGGGAATACAAAAATTGCTGTTGGGCACATTCAAAAATTCACCTCTTCCTTTGAAATGGGCAACTCTCATTCATTCATACAATTGTCTTTGAAATCTACAATCCAAAAAATCACTATGCCCTCACTGACAGATTTTACCCAACACATTGTTTGCATTCCAGACTGAGATGGCGCACTAACCATTTCAGAGTATTGTACAAACTTGTCATTGTCAACAATTCTACATTTGCATTTGCAAAACTGTTAAAACATCAGTTGTCTATTTGTTTAAATTTATACAGAAACTGTATTTCACACATAGTACACAGAAACTAATAATTAACAGCCATAACATTTAAATGGTGAACTTAGCTAGGACTGCATCAACTCTAAATGTACTGGGATTGAAATATGTGCATTGAAAGGATGATGTAATGACTGCACAAAGAATAATACATAGGATTGTTAAGAACGGGTATTTATTATTCAATGGTGGTGGTTGAGGGTAATACACATTAGAGCACAGCCAAATTTGGCACAAATTATGTCAAGCTAAATACACAAGGCAATAAAATACACCTTACATTTACATGACTTACTAATAAAGTAACTAATAGCATAAAAACCTGAAACATTAAAAAACATATCTAGTGTACATGGAATAAGATGATGATGGTAATATCGATATTAGAAACCAAAAGTAAAGACACAAATAAATCAGAAACTTTTCTGGAATGAACTGACAGGCAAGGCTACATAGTTTTACTGGCCCGACAAGATGAGCAATTACGTTACACAAACATTCTCCTAGCAAGAGCCTTTTACACAGACAAGGCCAATGTCTCCTCTATAATGCCACGCACCCAGGTGAATAAAATATGCAGACTGGCTCTTCTGAAGACAATAATGAGTGATGAAATGTGCTATGAAAATCTCTTCAAAATGGTAATGGATTTGGAAAATGATCTTGTAGGTCTTAATTTAGTCGACTGGCGTGATCACTTGGTTCAGAAAGTAGAGTAAGTAAATCATGACAAGAGCAATGCCACCTCTCTCCTAGACAATGCCACCTCTCTCCTAGACAATGCCACCTCTCTCCTAGACAATGCCACCTCTCTCCTAGACAATGCCACCCACATTTTCATTTATTTCACTGATGTATTTCAACTAAGTTAAAATTCAATGAATATGCAAAATGAGAGAAGCTAATACTTCCTTAAAACCTGTGCTCCAGAAAAGCGGTGCCCCCACCAAAGTTGAATGTGGACTGCCATTTTTTTTACAG